TGTTGATTTCGCACTAACATATGCTGCCGTGTTCTGTGTTAATTATTCTTCTTAATTTTCTCCTTTAAATTCCATTTCTTTTTCAGCTTCTAGCTTTATGGACGCTGGTGAGTCTGCTGACGGCCTGCGGCGATGTGTCGGCGGCCGAGGCAGGGAGGCGGGACTATGTGGCGGAGCTAACAGAGTTCGGGGGAGTCGGTGACGGCGTTACCAGCAACACCAAGGCGTTCCTCTACGCGGTGGCAAACCTCAGCCGGCGAGCCTCCGGCGGCTGCGGCGGCGGAGCTATGCTTGTGGTGCCGGCGGGGCGGTGGCTCACCGGTCCATTTAATCTCACCAGCCACTTTACCCTTTTTTTACACAGCGACGCCGTCATTCTTGCCAGCACGGTAACGCTTTTCATGGCTTCCTCTCCTCTTGGAAAAAATTTGGGACAAAAAATTGGCATGGTGAATTTGAAAATTTAAAATTTTATTTTGAGATTAGCTAAATATAAAATTCAATTTAGTATATTTGTTTTTAAAATAATTTTAAACTTTTTATTCAATTAAATTTAAGGGTGATAATAAAAATCATTTTCTCATTGCAAATTTTAGTTGGGAACAATTTTCTTATTACTTTTTACATCAATTTTCTAGCATAAAAATTTTTTTAAATAAAAAAAGATCAAAAACTGTCTCAAACGAGATTAATTATTCTGTGCGGACACCGGACGCCGTCTGGAGGCAAATCAGATCATATCACGTCACCTTCTTGCTATATACCGCAGATGTTTACCCGCGGTGTACCGGGTGATATGGCGCTCTCTGATTTGCCTCCGGACATAGAGCTACGTCCGGTGTCTGCACAGAATAATTTCTCCTCAAACTAAGCCTTAATTGGGTGGGTGAAATGCTAATCCTATTAGAAATTAATTGCGAGCAAAGGAGGGTGAATGTAAATAAAAAAGATAAGAGAAATTAGGCTGAAATTTGGTATAGAAATTAGTATAAGATTGATTATTTTGGACTGAGTTAAGACAATTAATGGGGCTAAATTTGAATTTTCTTTAGATTTCTCTTTCATTGTGGGGCTGCTCATAAGTCAAATTTATTTTTTTAGGTTCATATGTTCGTTACTCATAAATTTAAAAGAAAAAGGGAGACCTTCCATCTCTCCACCTAACTTTGACCAAGAGCCACTATAGCCCTAATAGGACTCTTAAGCTTTTGATGAATTCAATTTGGGTTTTAAGAAAAAAAAAATTCAATTTGGGTTTTTGTTTGGTATTTGGTTAAGACAACCCCATTTATTTTGAGAGAAATTAGTGTTTAAGATCTTGTCCGATGCACAAAAATTCAACAGATAAATAAATAATGGAGATGACAAGAGAATATCAAAACTTTTTTAGGTGGAAAATCAAAAGAGGAAAAAATCATGAGGTCTTGTCTGGATGAAAAAATTTCATTATATTCATGTAGATTACAAAAGCCGACCAGTCCCTAACTTGAAGAAAGCAAAATTACAATAGTTTGGAAAGTTGGACACGCTTCGCATGGAAACTCAAGAATTTGCAATAGTCATGATCGAAAAACAGACATGAAAAGTTTAGTGGTGATGACCGGGAGAAGGTTTAGCAAAAAATTGTTAATGAAAGTAGCCTATTAGACGGATTGAGTGGCAACAATCATGAAGAGATTCAGCAAGTGTGGCGGCACTTGAGAGGAGATCTCGCAATAGTCAATAGATAGACAAAAGCCTGAAGGCAAGTGATGGCCCAGATGAAAATTTACAGTGATGGTGGATGGTCATGAAGAGATCCAATAGTAGCCAACAAATAGGCGTAAGTATGGTGACAGTTGAGAAGAGATCCAATAGCGGACAATGAACAAACGAAAATTTAGAGACTGCCGCTAGTCGGGATAAGATCTAGTGGCAGCGTTGGTTGGAGAATGCAAGAGAGCGTCTTAGTTTTCTCCTCTCTCTCTCTCTCTCTCTCTCTCTCTCTCTCTCTCTCTCTCTCTCTCTCTCTCTCTCTCTCTACCCCCTCATGTGAAGAACATGGATTTATTTAGAGTTTTTTTGGGAATAGCATGCCCCCGTAAAGATGAAGAAAATTTAGGGTAAATTGGGAGTGTTCCATCGGATTGCCCATATTGATTCCCTTAATCATGGAGCATCTTTCAACCATTTAAGTGCTTAGTAATGTGAAAATTGAGAGATATTGGGCTCGTTGGATTTGCCTTGTCGAGCGCTCGATTCGACTACAAACCAGACTAATTTAGATGTCATTTGAATATCCAATTAATGCTTTGAAACTCTAAAATATGTTTTAAGCTCTCAATTTTAGCTCATTTGAACTCGGATTGAATTGATTTTGAAATTATTGTGTTTGTCTTGCTGATATATTCAATTTAATAAAAAGTTTATTGAAACTGGAGTTTAAATAGTCCCAAATTTTATTTTAAGTTTAAATACTCCCAAATTTTATTTTAAAATCTTCTGATTCATATCTGATCACAGCGATTTTTTGGTGGCATATCACTTATTATACCTAAGGTCACAATATATATTCGCAATGACAATTTATTTATTTATTTCCGAACTTTTGGGCTGATGAAAAAAAAAAAATTGTACTTTAAACTTTCGCCTAAATATTTTTGAAGAATCAAAATAATCTTCAACTATATTTAAATATCAATTTGATCTCTCGATTCCTTAAAAGATGATCAAATCAGTCTTTCTATTTAAACAATTAAGTAAATAAAATGAAACTTTTAAATAGTTTTTCGTAACTCTTTAAATGGAAATCAAACATTCTCTCTTCAATTACATTTTTAAATCTTTAAAGGAGAAAATGGAACTATTAATGGACAAGGGCAATTTTGGTGGGATAAATTCCACAAGAAAGAGCTCAACTCTACTCGTGGACACCTCTTGGAACTTATGTACTCGAAGAACATTCTCATCACCAATCTCACCTTCATCAACTCCCCGTTCTGGAACCTTCATCCCGTTTATTGCAAGTTAGTATTTGTTTTTTTAGCATTTTGATCAATTAAGATAAACTCACACGTATAATCCGTACGTAAGACTTAAATTCAATATCTTTTGGTTGATAGATAAAACTCTCAACCAACAGATCAAGATGAGCCCATAAAGTTAGTTCTTTTAGTTGGACTTTATTTGGAACAGTTTTCTCACTGCTTTCTAAAACAGCTTTGTAATATAAAAATTTTTACTTCAATTTTTTTTAACTAAAAATAGTTTTAAGAAGCAATAAAAAATGATGTCTTAATTTTTAATTTATTAATTGGGATTAATTGAACTTTAATATGCAGAAATGTTGTCATAGCTAACATTACCATACTGGCTCCAGTGGACTCTCCCAACACCGACGGCATCAATCCAGGTCAAATTATAAAGCAACAAGAGTTTTTTTTTCCCCCAAAACTCTTCATAAAAATTCGAACTTTGATGTCACAGACTCATGCTCCAACGTCATAATCGAGGACAACTTCATCATCTCCGGCGACGACTGCGTCGCCATTAAAAGCGGCTGGGATGAATACGGCATCCGCGTTGGCATCCCGAGCGAGCAAATCACCGTCCGCCGCCTCACCTGCATCTCCCCCACCAGCGCCGTCATCGCCATAGGCAGCGAAATGTCCGGCGGAGTCCGCCAAATCTTCGCTGAAAATATAACCGCCATCAACTCCGAATCGGCTCTTCGCATCAAAACCGCCGTCGGTCGCGGCGGCTTCGTCCGCGACGTGTTCGTCCAAGGCATGACTCTTCACACGATGAAGTACGTCTTGTGGTTCGCCGTAAGCTACGGAAACCATCCCGATGATGGCTGGGATCCGGCGGCGTTGCCGGAGATTGAGAATAAGTATTGGTGACGTTTTTGCGGAGAATGTGACGATGGTGGGGAGATTGGAAGGGATTCAGAAGGTTAGGTTTAGGGATATTTTTCTGTGGAATTTGACGGCGAGGCCGAGCGCGGCGGTGGCGGCGAAGAAGGTGCAGTGGAATTGTAGCTATGTAGAGGGGGCAGCGTACAAGGTGAGTCCGAAGCCCTGCGATGAGTTGGGGAAGGCGGGTGAGCCGTTCGATTTTCGAGTGGTGGATCTGAACCGTCCGTAGGAACAGAGGGGACGAGCACTCTGAACATACATAGAATTCCTAATTGAAAAAAATTGGGACCTAATTTTAAAAGGATAAATTTTAAAAAATTTATATGTGTGTATGTTTGTTGTTTTAAATAGCATGAAATAAAATTATTTTGATTTTCATATTAATTTCAAAATTTTGAAGTTTTTTGTCATAAAATATATGATAAAATAGCGAAATATTAAGGTATTTATATGTAATTAGTAAAATAAAAAAGAATATTTTTATTTATTTATTTAAATAACACACAAAATTTTAAATAAAACAAAATGATATCATTTATATAAATTTCTTTTCAATGTAAAATACATCTTTCTATGTTTATATTTTGATGTGATTGAAATACTAAAAAGTTATATAAATAAATATTTATACTATAATATCTAAATCATATAAAAAATCTTATTATTATCACCTTATTAAAAATAAAAAATATATTTTGATATCATTTAAATACTAAAATTATATAAATAAATATAACAATTTATATGTTAAATATATAAATATATAAAAATTCTATGATACATTTTTTTTATTATTATTTAAGGTTAAGACAATGTCCCATGCCATGTTATTAATGGCTATATCAAATTAAGAAATATGTGCTCCTTAGGCTTCATTTGGGACAGCTTTCTTACTGTTTCTTAAAACAGCTTTCTAGTACAAAATTTTCAAACAACAGTGTTCAAATACATTACTTTAAGAAGCAGTAAAAAAACTATCCTAAACGAAGCCTAAGCCTTTATCAGAACAAATGGTTACTGTGAAAACAATAAGGTAATGAAAGGATAAAGCATTAAAATTTTGTGAACCTCGTCTATTCTAGGCTAAGTTATGAGAGGAAGAAAAAAACAAGCAGCTAGTTTCAAATTAAAGTAATGAGAGCTCAATACATTATGAATAAATCTTGCCACTATTTTCCAGTTACACAAACATAGCCAACAAAACAACAACAAGAAATCTTTCATAAGATTTACAGATGAAGAGAGTTCAATCTAGTGAACTGGATCAGGATTGTAGTTCAAAGACTCTCTGTAGATGAGTAGTTTGATATCTTCTTCAGTTACTGCCGGTTGTTCGAATTCGAAACTGAAGGGTGTATGGCTAACAGGTTCATCGTTTATGTCATGAAGAGAAGCTAAATATGGGTGAGAAAGAGCTTCATCAACTGAAGAAAGAAGAAATCTTTCATCATTTATGTAATCAGAATGAGAACCAGTACAGAATTCCAGAAAAAAAATAGTTTCATACCTGTAATTCTCTTGCTTGGGTCGAATACTAGCATTCTCTCAAGTAAATCCCTGGCTCCAGGAGACATGCTAGGAAACCTGAGGGAAAATTGCTGCTTTGGATAATGTGGAAGCTGTCTTACGTATCTCCTGGCGTTATCACTTCGAAGAAACCCAAGGCTAGAGTCATCTGGGGAACCTATCAGCTTTTCAATAAGGAAAAAAAGTGAGTTGCAGAGGGAACCTGTTAAACTTTTGAAATATATGGGGTTATATAGCATCAGCTATATGAGCTGATAAGTAGATTATCCTGTATATTATTGTCATCGTCATTAGCCTTGTAACAATCGCATAAGGTTGGCTTTATCAATCCCAATCTTCCATTGACGAAAATCTTGTTAAACAATTTGTAATCATGCAAAGTTTAGTCTTGTCCTTTTTCTCCCTAATATTTCAACCTTGATTTACTTAACCGCCTCATAAGTTTATCTTCTAGCTTTTGTTGTACATGCCCATACATGTTCATTAAGTGCTACTTCAACCCTCTATAATTTAGGCTTCGTTAGATACGGCTTTAAACCATTACTTTCTCTCAACTTTCAAGAAATTTTTGTACTAAAAAACAGTTTTACAAAGCAGTAAGAAAGTGATCCCAAACGAAGCCTTAATCATTTATTAATCTATCACATCTATTATTTTACCACCATATTCATCTTAAGATTCACATCTATGTCAAACACAACTTCACTTCACTTCTTTAGCACCAACACTCAAATCCCTAAATAGATTTTTAGCTCTACATCTATAAGAAGATTGGTAAGAATCCCATAAAAAGCATCCTATTTGGCAATCGATTGTGGTCAGGAAATGAAAAGAATTACATTAAACTGGTAACTAAATCAAGCATCTAATAAGCCATACTTAAAAGAAAGGTTAAATGTACCATATTTGACAAAAACTAATGCAAGCAAAAATTAGAAAAACTCTAATTTTTGCAAGCAAAAGAAAAGACTGCCTAAGAACATAAGAAAATACACAAAATACTCAAAAATAGATAAAATATGACATTTAAACAAAATACATCTTTTTTAAGATAAAGACGACCCTTACAAACTTATGACATAAAAACAAACACCTAAACTTGTTTTTCTTGATTTGAGAAGAAAGATATAATTGGCGTCGAACTTGCGGAGAGAAGAAAGAGGTAAGAAGCCGAGACGATGGACAGGACAAGCTCGCAAGCTTTCCCAAGAAGAAGAAGAAGAATAATGAAATAAGCTCGCAAGCTTTTCCACGAAAAACTTCCAAAAATCCCACACATAAAAATTCTTTTTGCTTACAAAACACTTAATATTTATAGGAGAAAAGGGGCAGCCAAACAACCCAAAATACCCCCAAATAAACCATTAAAACAAGGGAAGATAGAAGGCCAAGGAGCTATACAGGAACAGCACCCAAAGAGCCACAAAGGGGGCCAGCATTCAGTCTAGAAACAGAACCCGAACAGCCACACATAAAACCGAAAAAAGGAAGCCAAGAGGGAAGGAACGGAAAGCCAAAGGGGGAACCGAAACAGGCAAGCCAGGGGAAAGGAACGGGCAGTTCAGGGAACCGGAACAGGCAACCAAAGGGAATCGGAACAGGAAGCTAGGGGACCGGAACAGGCAGTCAAAGGGGGAGGAACGGGCTTCACAGGGAACCGCAAAAGGCAGCCAAGGGGGAAAGGAACCATCGACGGGAAGGGGAGCCAAGTGGGGAAACGAACAAGACAATAGAGAGGGGGGGGGGGGGGGCAATGAACTCAAATAATTTCAAATTAATGAATTGAATAAGTAATAGCTCAACATTAATGAGCTGACTTTTAGTAGAGGTTATTGAAGCTTACTAAAATTACAACCAAAAATGATTTGACCCCCCTTTGCCTACATCAAAAACTCAATTAAATACACACACCAACAAGTAATAGCAAGGACAAGGACACAAACACCTAATAGAACATCCAAATCTCACGACAATACAAAGAGACTCACCACTATAAGTAATCTTCAAAACTTGCAAAGCACTTCTAGAATGTACATCCAACACAACACACCCAAAAATTAACAAAAGTTTGAAATTTTATTTTGCTACTCAATGAATAATTTTTGTCTCAAGTTCCTATATATAAGCCAAAGAAGATAAATATAGTAGCTTTTCAAAAACCATCAAGATTTGATTAAATACAGCAAGTTTCAATACTTCATATACATGCAATTCTGTAAGTTCTCAAAATTTACCAGACAAAATAGCTCTCAATTTTCAGAAAATAGTTCAAAAAACTTGTGTTACAATACCAGTCAAATAAACTGAAAAAATAGTAAAGTGTCATCGTAGAAAAGTCACCAGTATGCTACAGTATGCAAGATGGCTGATTGCTATGAACTATGATCCTTGTTGAGTGCTATAGTCCCAGGAGATCACTGATTGTTATGATCCCAAGAGTCAAGAGCCAAAGAATGAAACAAAGAGAAATCGCATGCTATAATTTCGAAAATATAAAGCCGGTGAGTTCTACAGTTCCAAGAAATCTTCCTTAAATGCATGAAAAAGAAAAATAAGGCTTCGTTTGGGACGGCTTTCTTACTTCTTCATAAAGAAGCTTTCTAGTACAAAAATTAAAAAATTTTGTACTAGAAAGCTGCTTTAAGAACCATAAAGAAAGCCGTCCCAAACGAAGCCTAAATCTTTGGGTCGTTGTAGAGTTGCCACCCTCCACTTTGTAGAATGGCATGAATCGCATGGACGAACCTTTTAGAAATATTATTTCCATGTTTAACATCAAAAAGCTCCTATAGTCCTATGTTTTACTATATCAGCCATTTTGGTTATGATACTAAACTGGACAGATTTAAGATTAAGAGGATAACCAAAGAGGAAAACAAAAAGAACAAAGCAATTGAATAACTATTAGCCTCATTCCAAGGGGAACTAGAATTTCATACCTCAGTGATCAACCTAAGTTGATGTACATAGTCCTTTCCTGGAAATAAAGGCTCTCTGGTCACGATTTCCCCAAGAATGCACCCAACGGACCAAATATCGATGGCCGCAGTATACTCAGAACAGTTAAGGAGCAATTCTGGTGCTCTATACCAACGAGTAACAACATATTCTGTCATGAAGTCTGCTTCTGATGTTGTTCTTGCCAAACCAAAATCTCCAATTTTAAGATCACAATTTGCATTCAGGAACAGGTTATTAGGCTTAAGATCACGATGTAACACATGTGCTGAGTGTACATATTTTAGTCCTCGTAGTATCTGATAGAGGAAATACTGCAGGTATAAAAGATGACATCAGAAGATGATAAGGTTATAACAGAAAATGAAATAGCTTTGCTTTGTACATGCAAAAGCCAACATAAATGAACTAGGAGCTAAATCAAAGTTGATCTGGTCAAAAAAATCATATCAAATAGAAAAAAAGAAGCAACATTTGGATTCCAGAAAAAATAAAATGCTGATTTCAAGAAGACTAATATTTTGTAGATCCAAGCTCCTCGGAGAGCTTATTTTCAATCCAGACAAAAGAAATTCGCAAACGGAGGCCTTCCGATGACCCGGTTAGGAAAGTTGAGATATTAAATTTGACTTATGTTAAGAAAGGTAGAGGTAGAACGAAAAAGACTTGGTTAGAAAATATTAGAAATCAACTTTCTTTATTAGATTTGAATAAGAATTTGACTTTTAACATGACACAATGGCGAAAAAAATTCATGTAGCCGACCCCATGTACTAACAAAGGCTTGATGATGTTGTTGTTGTTGTTGTTGTACAAAAGAAATTCGCATGTCCATAGAGAGTCTACAAACAGGAAATAGCAAATGTAGTTACATTTTACTTTAGAACCTAACTGTAGCACAATCATATCTTCATAACATAACCATTATCTTTAGAGTATGAGCTGAACAAAATAAGCCTAGCAGTCTAAACTCCAACTAAAAATCATAATAATATGATTTCAGATTTCAAATCTGCAGTACTTGTACTTCGAGAAATTATTCTTAAATCTATTATTATGATAAACGCAAGAAATTAGAGGACTTGAAAAACCATATTAACCTGTTATGAAAAATTCATGTACAAACCTGACAATGATCATCATTCAATGACTGGTTGGAGCGAATTATTTGATGAAGATCTGTATCCATGAGTTCATAAACAATATAGACATCATTGAAAGTTTCCTTATTTGGAGGGCGGATGATGTCCTTGATGGCAATTATCTAAGAAATGGAAAAATAGCTTAGTTCTTTCAGGTATGGCTTGATATCAGAAAAATGGCATTAGAGCTGAAAGGAATGCAGCTGAAACATTAATTAGAAAAATTGAGGAAAATAATTCCATCAAGAAAGTTGCAGTCGCTTGTAAAGAAAATACCTGTGCAGAAGTTTTCATGCCATTGTGAATATAGTGGATCAATGAACTATTTTAAATTTCATCACCATTGTCACAATCATCATCAACAGTCTTGATGAAAATATCAAAGAGCGTGCTAGTTAGAAATAAAGAAAAAGAACTTCAGTTTGCATTGTTTCTTTGTTTTGTTAATGATTAAACATGCCTATGATGTTTTTCTTGTTGAGAATAGATTGTGTTCTCTAATATTTTAACTTCCTTTTTAGGTTTGATTAGTTGTTGTTAGCATCCCAATTCAATCAAACATTATCATGAACAATCCTGGTTTCAACTTTTAGGGTTTCCTACTCTTCAAGATTTAAGGATTTCTATTACTACAGGTTTCCTATTCTTCCTTACAGTTGTTGTTTTCTACCTGTCATTGCTGAAATTCCTACGAAGTTATTGATTGCCACGGTCAAGAGTTTACTTGATTTTATTGATTGCTAGTCCTAGAATTCTTATAGTTATTGATAAGTATAGTCTATAAGCTACCTTTGTTGCCTCCTGGTTTTCCTTTATGGATATAAATGTATGGAAATTCTAAAGAAAAAACTGCTTCCTACGAAGAGATAAGAGAATTGGAGCTTGAAGATTTTTTGCAAGCTCGTAGAACTAATAAAGCATGCAAAAGCAATTGAACTGTTAAAATCTCAACCGTCCCTTAACACTTGATCTTACAGTTAGGATGAGACTCCGTGGGAGGCTCACTTGGATCATGCCGATCTCTGTTAAATCCCAGCCGTCGTCCCTTGACACTTGATCCCACGGCCAGAATGAGAATCCATGGGAGGCTCACTTGGATCACGTCAATCTCCTATATTTTGGTGGCTGATTTAGGAAATGATTATATTAATGCAATTATGCATGATTATATAGTTTTATGTTTCTTTATTAATAAATATTGTATAAATTTATAAATAGAGATAATTTTTTATAATAAAATTAAACTTTTCCCTCTCCAATTTTTTGAATTTAACATGATATCAGAGTCTTCATTGCCTTGGCCGGCATTCTTAGTTTTTCTTTACTGCCGGAATTTTTGAGGGAAGGCCCAACCTTCCCTTCAGAAATGAAAGGGAGCATATTCTGGCTTGTTTATTCCTGCATACGTCCATCCGAGAGGGGGAGAGTGTCTCATCCCGCGACCTTTTTGTTTGATCGAGAGAAACAAATGCCTAGTGCGTTTCGTCTGGAGGAGTCAAGTGAGAACCCTGCGGTCTCTGCGTTCGATCGAGAGAGACGAATGTCTAGTAAACCCCTCTGGCATGCGCGCGATCGAACGAGACAAGATAGACTAATGGCCAGAAGATTTTGCAAGTGTCTGGGAGCTGATTGAGCGGGATTGACCTCAATGTTCATGTGATCAAGGGCAAGTCGGTTCTTGCGTTCTGCTTCCTACTCGTGTACTACCAGAGCAGCCAAGCAAGTGAGAGAGCTTTTCCTTTCGATCTTCTTTGTGCGGTTAGAGAAAGCACATGAGACCCCTCTCATGTGTGCCTTCCTAGGGGCCGAACTGAGTGAAAAAGAGGATCAAGAGAGGGAGAGAGTAGGAACTACGTACGTGTGTGCCTAAATAGGGAAGACAACCTTCGTGTGTTTGCTAGAGTCGAACCGAGCAAGGAACAAGCAATTGAAGAGCTGTTGAACATGCCATCAAATCCTCCACTCGAAGAGCCTCTCCTTGCCCCAAATCCCAACTGCTTCTACATGTTCTCGATCTGCTACCGTTAGATCTAGGAGATGTACAAGAAGGTCAAAGCCTCCTTCTAGATAGCAAAAAAAAGTCAACCTCTCTCAAGATCTACAAAACTAGAATCAATCCCTCCAATTGGACGAACGCCACTTCATAACCCACGTTCTCGCCTTCTTCACTATCGTTGATGGAATCATCAATGAGAATCTTGTCGGTCAGATTTGGACTGAAGTCAGTTTGCTGGATTCGAAGCATGTTGATGGAACGATCATGATATGTGGAGTTGCCTAGACAATGCGCGCAATGGGGAAGAAGATGGATTTCTTGGTCGTAAGGCAATTCACTGTATGGTCCAGTGCATGCTTATGGTGACTGAAGAGTTGGTGAGCACGCAGATCGTGAAGTACGCTACTTCCCTAATTAGAGACTCAATTGTGGATATCGAGGGGGAGGCTACAGAGAGATTAGAAGCACATTATCCTACCCTAAAGGAGCTAGCGCTTCCTGGTTCTCCAGGTTCCCACCACCAGCCTTCATTGCCAAAATTTTGAGGAATACTGGATCCCATTGCCGGCCTTCATAGCAAGAATTCTGAGAAACTTCGTGCATCCAAGACCGAGTAAAGATCGAGCAGAAGTGAGTGCAGAACCTCCTCCTCTATGTGTTTAGAAAGAGCCGAGAGTTCCCTCTCATGCGGGAACAAGGACAAGAAAAAATGCAAGACTTGCACTCTCTCTTACGATCAGAACAGAGGAATCAGAGGCTTTGCGTGCACCTGTACTGGCCTATCGAATAGGAGTCTGTTCAGGTGGAGTCGGATGACCTGCGAAGGAGGAGATCTGCGTGTTAAATGTTGAGTCGCTTGAGATGTGTGTTTCTACTCCTATCCTTGAAGCTTGCCGCAGCCATATTTTTTTTCCATTTTTACTATTGTGCCTTTATTGCTAACCTTCTCTTGAGAACCAAGAGGGAAACAGACCCGAAGGACGATTAATCCACTTTCCCAGCTGTCCCACCATCGGCCTTTATTTCCATTTCCAGTATCTTGAGGGCTACTATTCAACACAACCTTCATTGTTGCCCCGCACCTTGCAAGCTTGATTGATATAGCCTTCATCGCTATCATTTGCTGCTTTCGCAATATCTGAAGCTAATTCCTCTCAAAGTTTTGACCAAATGAAGGACTCTATGGTGCACCAAGGGACTTGATAACTCTACTTTTCTGTGACTAATTATCAAGCTGGGAATAACAGATCTATATTCCCCGGCTTGAGGGAGAATTTTTAATCCCAGTCATCCATTGACACTTGATCCCACGGCTAGGATGAAAATCCGTGGGAGGCTCACTTGGATCATGCCAATCTTTGTTAAATCCCAGTCATCCCTTGATACTTGATCCCACAGCCAAGATGAGAATCCGTGGAAGGCTTACTTGGATAATGTCGATCTCTTTCTATATTTGGGTGGCTGATTTAGGAAGGATTATATTAAGGCAATTATGCATGATTATGTTGTTATTTGTTTTTTTTTAATTAAGACATATTGTATAGATCTATAAACAGAGATAGATTTGTATAATAAAATTAATTTTTTCCCTCTCCAATTTTTTGAATTTAACAATCCACTTTCCCTGTTGTCCCACCACCGGCCCTTATTGTCGTTTATGGTATCTTGAGGGCTATTGTTCAACGCATCCTTTATTGCTACCCTGCACCTTGCTGGCTATTGAGATAGCCTTCATCGCTATCATTTGCCGCAACAATGTTTAAAACTAATTCCTCTCAAAACTTTTACCAAATGAAGGACTTTATGGTACACCAAGAGACTTGATAACTCAACTTTTCTAGGACTAATTACCAAGTTGAAAATGTATGATATGTATTTCCCAACTTGAGGGAGAGTGTTAAAATCTCAGCCGTCCCTTGACACTTGATCCCACGGCCAGGATGGGAATCCGTGGAAGACTCACTTGGATCACATCAATCTCTGTTAATCTCAACCAATGTGAACTCCCGCACTCTTAGCAAACCTTGCCAACACATGCTCCATCCAAGGGAACTACTAAGGCAATCAAAAGGTTGTCGAAGAAAGCGGAAGCAGCATGGTATGAGAAGAAGCAAATGGATAAGATAATACCCACCTGAACAAGGAATGAGTCAAATAGAAGGAAGCACGCCAAGAGAACAATACCTGGGAGGCAATTCCCCAAGCCTTCATCTCTAATACATGGTTGTCACAAATCCAAAACTTCTAGCGAAAAATAGCCAAAGCCTAGGTAGCAAGAATAAGGATGATATGTATGATACCGGTCTGTAATTTTTTTTTTTTTTTTTTTTTAACGTATTTTTTTTTTTTTTTTTTTTTTTGAACGTTGAGCAAATCTGTTAGGTCATGTGGAGGTGGGTCATGTGTAGGCCTGAACCAACAGATGCAACACAATAATGTGGCAATAATGGAAAACAAGAAAGAAAGGAAGGAAATGAATAACTAAATGGGTGACCTCCTCCAGGTCGACCCCACGTAGTGGGATAAAGGCTTGATGTTGTTGTTGTTATATAATATCTATTATAATATTATATTATATTATTATATCAAATTATGTTATTAACTTGCAATATTATATTTCAACATTATGAAGAGGAAAGTTGAGATATTAGATTTGAAAGGTAGAGGTAAACCTAAAAAGACTTGTTTAGAAAATATTAGAAATGATCTTTCTTTATTAGATTTAAATGAGAATTTGACTTTTAACAGGACACAATGTCAAAAAAATATTCATGTAGCCGACCCCATGTAGTGGGACAAAGGCTTACTGTTGTTGTTGTTGTTGTTGAGGAGGAGGAAGTACAACAACAGTGCAATGCAATTCATGCAAATATCATATAATAGTGATGTATTTTATTATTTATGCAAAGGTAGCCATTCAAGCTTAGTTATAGTCAACATTTCAAAGCGAATCACTTTGGATAAAGAATATGTTTACAACAGATTAAATAAGATGAGTTCAGTTTAAGACTTTAAGTTTATATTACATTTGATTGATTAAGATAATTGAGTTGTAATTTTGGATAAACCATATTTTTTGGCTACTTTAATTGGGAAAATATTCTAAAACAAGTTAAGCTCAATGGGGATTCGAGATTTATGAAATTTTCATTGAATAAAGGTTTGAGTGAACTCTTCTTAACTCATTGTAAGTTGATATTAGTTTATTATGTTAGTCTGAGTACTAACATGGTCGATATTAAATGATGAATTCATAATTTTATCATTTGGAGTTTATTACATGAAATATGTGTAGTTGAATCAATTTTTTTATAAATGGGTATGTTCGAAAATTATAATTTCAAGAGCATCTTTAAATATTAAAATTGTTGTTTGTGTTTAGTGTTCATGTCCTAACTCTCTCTAATTTTTATTTTGAGTATTATTTCAATTTTATGATCTAGAATCTCCTAAATCTAGAGTTTATACAACACTGTTGTCTTTGGGCTAATAGATTTACTCATTGATCTAATTTAGGCTGTTGACACTTGCTTATTGAGGGATGAACATTCCTTCTTTATTAGAGACATTTTATTTAACATTACTGCATTTAATATATATTTTATATCATGCTTTATTTATTTATATTTTTTCCTATGTTCATATTAATGTGACATGTGATGCTTAATTAACTTTACCAAGTTAATAGCTCTATAAATTTAATGCCCTTGAAATGAACCATATGATGGGATAATTTATTAAACATGAAAAATATGCTTATTGCCATAAAACAAATTTGTTCATACTAATTATGGGTTGAATATAGTGATATGAAGTCTTGTCGTGTTATTAATGAAATCATTGTTATAACACCTAGCACATGACATAAGAGGCATATAAGCTATACATATATGCTGAATGCATATAATTGTTACTAATGGCCTTTTGTTCATATGATTGATCTGCCGGGTTACGACCCTACAAGGGATAGATGAACTACAATATGTTGGTGTCGTGAAAACCTTTGTTTTTGTTTTAGGATATTATGAGGGATCGAGATATAACATAATAATCAATAATTTTAATGAGTCATTAATGGATAAAAAATAAGAATGATACAGGCGCATGTGAATGCTTTAACATTTGTATACTATGTCATATTGAGTGGGTTTCATCCACTGAATTTGTTTCTCGGAAAGTCACACATTAATTTTTAAGATTTCAAATTATTATTTTGCATCATTCAATAAAGAACTTAGATTTATGCTCAAACAACATGAGAATGTTTTAAGGTTATATAGTTATCTATGTGATATATCAGCAATTTAATTATATCTCTACTTAGATGATTTCTTACAATGGATACGATACTTGGATGTCATTGATTTTCATACTAATCTTATTCTTAAAGCAATTAATGGAAAATAAACTTATCCACTACTAATAGTAAATATCAAAGATATCTTATAAAGAGGAAAACATGATGAGATCCATATATTTTTCTATAAGAAATGCAATAAATAAGCCAAAATCTGCTTGACAAATATTAAAAAAAAAACATTTGTTGAGATAGACTTTCTCATTTCTAAAAGATTGATGTGAAATCCATCAGAGCAGTTATATGATTTAAGTGATTAGAGATATACGGCTAGATATTATTGTTGGAGTTTTGTGATTGGATATGCTGAAGTTCTATTTCTACAACTATGTCTCCTTTTGCATCTGAAAATTATGACTAAATTTTCCCTTAGATTTTCATTCAATGGTTGCTTTGTTTTTTTATGCAAAGGTACTGGAAAGGATTAAGGATCTATTACATTACAATTAAGCTACTCCAACAAGTTTTAAGGTGGAATGTAGTTGGATGTAGAACTTATACTTATGTCCAAAACTTGAAACTCATTTGAAATTTGTTTGAATTTTAATTGGTTTAAAATTGAAAGAGATTTACTCTGACTTGAGATTGATTGTTCAATTCAACTTGAGATCATCCTATATATATACTTGATTTGTAATTACAAAATATTTATAAAATTAAAAAACTTAATTTGAATTAGCTTGAAACACAACTCGAACTAAATCACGCTAACTCAATTAAAACTTTAGTCAAAATCAACGTATCTGATTTTGAGTTCAGGCTAGCTCACTAGAATTCCACATAATACCACACATATTTGAATGGTATCAAGTGGTATGAAGCCCTTGGGATTGTTTGATCAAATATTCCCATAATGGATCGCAGTTGTGACTCATCTTGAATGTGATCTCAACGATGAAAAAACTATAGGATCTATTGACTGATTCTTTCTTTTAATGAAGGGGACATTATGATTATAAAAGTGAGTTTTAGTTACATTAAAAAATTACTCTTAACTAGTTTCTATTAAACTGACGGTTGGATGTGATGTTCCTTCTAGACTTCTCCTTGATCGATTGAGGGACTAAAGATTCATGGAAGTGGTTATCTTCTTGTACAAGTGAGTGGCATGATTTGGTGACTTCTTTACCTTCCACTCAATTTTTGTTTTCTAAATAGTAGTTTTTATTAATTTAGTTTACTTGTGTGGTTGATTTTTGCCAAGTTTGACACTTTGTATTTTTACAATGGTGTGATTTCCAATTGAGTGTATGGCTTACATGTTTTCAATTTTTTGCGCATTAGTTTTGATAGAATGCTATCAAAAGCTAAGATTTGTGCAAGTTTCTTCATATTTCAATTTTTTTATTAAAGAAAATACATGTTTTCAAAATTAAAGTTTGTAATATGTAAATTTACATGTGCTTATGTGATTTCATAAAAATCATAACATATTTACACTAGCAAACTCAAGACTTTTGTCCTTCATCACTAAGACATGTATTAAAAGGTTGCTTGTAGCTAGTTAGATTGAATCAAATATCACGCCAATAAAAAGATCTCAAATTTGCAGGTGACAAGAAAATTTTCCATATGCCCATCCATCCCATGCAGGTAGTGTGAGATTTAAACACAACTTCCAAATTGTTTGGATGTTGGAAGAAAGTTGCCAGCCTTTTTAATGCCTAAGCATCATTTGAAGTTCATGTACTATTGAATATATGCTATGAAGATTGGCTGAACAATTTCATCTCTAAAAACATTTAAAGAAAAAAGCTAATGGATGATGAAGCTGCATATTCTGAGATATCTGAGCTCTGAATTTGATCATTCTTAAAGCATGACTTAGATCCAGAAATTTCTTAGACATTCAAAATGATAAAATAACAACGAAATCTTACATTTTCATGATTCAAATGACGAAGAAGCATTATTTCTCTTAAGGTTCTCTTAGCATCAACTCTATTGTCAAATGCATTGCCAATCTTCTTGATAGCAACCTCTTCACGTGTCTTTGAATTCACTGCAGCACTGTGCAAAAAATCATGTTCAGCCATAAGCATCGAAAGGCATAAAAGAAATATATAAAAGATTCCAATCCAGTTTAAAGACTGCAGCTTCAATGTCAATTAATAAACACAAAAACACTGAGGATTAGGCTTCATTTGGGACCGCTTTCTTACTGCTTCTTGAAGCAGCCTTTTAGTACAAAAAAATTAACTTTTATACTAGAAAACTGCTTCAAGAAGTAATAAGAAAGCTGTCCCAAAAGTTGTCTTATCAGGAACAGAAAAATTGCTTTTCTTAAAGCACACTTCAATGCTTTGCTCCTCTCTAGAAATACTTCTAATGGTTCTAATCCTTAACAACCAACAGCAGCTAGTCATTACAAATTTGAATCTAGAAGCCAATTTATATAATTTTTTATAAGATTAGAAATTTGCAATACAACGGACTCAAAATATAGGCAACTAACTCCAATATATTCCAAAATATAACTCCGCAAAATAAATGCCTCCAACCTTACGCTGTCCATCATCCTGATATTCAAGAATGAGGTCCAGTCCAATATATCTCTAAGCCCATGGGAAAGCTCTATGCGCTAAGAAAGGAATGGTTTTCAGTTTTTCATTGACGTAGAACAAAAGAATGAGAAAATTTTATTTTGAAAGAAATAATTTTGAGAAGAATTATTTTAAAAGAATTAATTTGAAAAAATTGTTATGGTAGCGGCAGTAGCCCTTTAATTATATAAGAGTTTATTATTAATATTCATATGAGCTCGAAATGAAGATTCACTAATCAACCATACATGGGATGGATATGGAAGACCAAGGTCATTTACCCTTTTCAAAGCTAGAATTTTGGAGCTTTCATCAAGATTATTTTCAAGACTTCTCAAAATTTGCATAAACATGGAAAATATCCAAACTCCATCAAATTCCATGCAAGATGGAACGACCAAGAGTCGGAAATGGAGAAACAAGCTAGCAAAATTAATATGGTAAGTCAAGCAAATTTTCAAACAATCAAAACAACAACAAAAAGTAATGAAATGTATGTTTTTATCCTATTTTCCTATCTACTACTTCAAATGCTATTAATACCCATGTACTCCCTTTAAATGAGATGGAATGGAATGGAATGCATTTGATGTAATATGAGTTGCAAATAACTTGGACTTGGTGGTCTACTCCTTTAGCTCTCCAAATAAAAATTATTATTGGAGCCATAATTTCAAGCTTCCACACTTGAGCAAACTGCAAAAGAATGGCTTTTACCTTTCAACTCTCACTAATCTCAATACCAAAACATCTATATACAACCAATAAATTGATCCCCCAAAACCCCAATTAATCTTCCCTAATAATGGTCGTTATAACATCAAATCTCAAATGGAGAGATTCCAGCACACCAACCAAATCAACCCTAGGGCTTCTCATCATGAGGTCTAGCCAAAATTCCAAAACTACCAAGAATATCAACTCCTAATGCCTTCAATTCTTGGCTTCAACAAATAAATGTTTTTCACAAAAATGATCCTATAAGTATCCTCCCAAAAGATTAAAACTAAAATATCCCCAAATTATGAAAAAGTGCCTTCAGATCTTCCAAAAAAATAGAAACACAATAAAAATCTATAAAATATAAAAAACAAAAATTAACCCCTCTACGTTGAGTACGCTCAAGCTCCATCCTCCATATTAAACTAAGGGCCCAAAATTCAAATTCAATTCAAGCAAGCAGAGAAGTCAATATCACATAAAAGGTTATCATGTAAATCAAGCTCAAATTTTTTCACCAATAAGAATTTGACGTATGCCCTCCAATCAAATGGTTAACTTGGAAAGCGTTAGACACCATTATATTATGATTTTTTCCAAAGCCTTTATGTTCTCCAATCATAAACATTTGAGCTTTTGATTCTACAAGATACATTTGATAGAACACAAAACCCTTTATCAATCTGTGTCAACTTAAAATTGTCCACTCAGTAAGTCATGATCTTCTGATGACCCGGTTAGAAAAGTTGAGATATTAGATTTAACTTATGTTAAAAAAGATAGAGATAGACCTAAAAATACTTGGTTTAAAATTATTAGAAATGATCTTTCTTTATTAGATTTAAATGAGAATTTGACTTTTAACATGAAACAATGGCGAAAAATGATTCATGTAGCTGACACCACGTAGTGGGACAAAGGGTTGATGTTGTTGTTCTTGTATGATGAAAAAATTCATACTTGTCAACAAAACAAGTTGGATCAACTTCCTCTACTAACTAAAAGGAACACAACCCATGACCCATCTAAGAATAAGAGTGAATTGTCCCTTCTCTTACAAAGAAGAGAATCATTGCAATGACCAATCTATGAGAGATTCTATACTACCAAGAGAGTCATAGCAACGAACACTCTATAAGAGAATATAAATTGCTAACTTTGATTGAAAGTGATCTCCCTTATGGGATAGGTGATTAAGCATGGAAACTTATGCTTATAGAAACTTTTGAACCAAGAAAATGAAGTCCTCGTAAGAGAGGAATCTTTGGGCAATGTTTATCATCGTTTTTCCTCCTAAAAACATAATTTTCACTCATCTTGAAGTTGAACGGTTAGCCCTCACATCCACAATATTTCTAAGGCACTATTTGATTATATTTTACAAGCATAGCATGGTAACATGCGTTGTCGCAATGCATGCAAAAATAAAATTGCTCATGCATAGACAATCTTCTTTCCTTCCTACACACATCCGCTCTCCATTTGTATCTGCACACAACCAAGCTCCTCTCTTAAATCCTAATTGTGCCCACTCATGCAAGCTAGAGATGATAGAATCAAATATTTCTGACCCTCCACTATGAAGTTTGCTTAAACGTAATAAGGTGAAATATGCCCTAAGCTACACTCTATTCAAAGCTCTTCCTCCATCATCACAAACTAACATATATCTTGACCACTAAGATAGCCATTATGCCTATGTGAAACCACCTAGCCGTATTGAAATTATATCCCATAGTTATAACCATTTTCACTAAATAAAATCCATCTTCTTCATCAATCATACAGAAAATCCAATTCTTCTCCATCAATCATACCCGCCAACTATTCTTCATCAATCAAACCCTCCTATAACAAGCCAGTCAAAAGTTTTGGTAAGAAAAACATGAAATTGTAATTTATTCACAAAAATTTCCCGAAAGGAAAAATGAGAGGAATATGAAAATTTGTATTACATCGCACAACTCACTCAAGTTCATGTATGAATGTTATAAACATTAAAATAAAGCAATAAATTCCATTTTAAGTACTTTGAAATTCCAAATAAATTTTAAATATTAAAGATGGTGACAAACTATTTAAAGTTAAATCATCACAGATTGGAAGAACAGAAAGTGTTGTTGGATACCAAAGAGTGAGAAAAATGGTATGAATGATAAAATTTATTGACATGTTGGAAAGAGTTTAAAAAATTAGATTGAATCTTTTGTTGAAATATCTAGTACCAATGTCTTGAAGCAATACTTATAAATGGTTGATTTCTATTAAGATGTGATAAAGATATTGTTAGGGATGAAGAGTAAACACCACAATGACAAAAAAAGCAAGAAAGTTAAAGCGGTGAAGAATAAAGGACATCGGGATTTAACGTGAAAAAATCCAAAATTGAGAAAAAAACACAGATCCACACTACAAGAAATCCACTATGAAAATTGGGACAAATAAGTACAGTTCTCTCTTCTCTCTCACTCTCTCCTTGCTTCTCTTCTTACATGCGCCATTCTCAATGTCTGACATAGCAAGAAATACAAGAGAAAGCCAGTTATAACCACCAAGGGACGCAAATTTTGAGAAAAAACGAGAAATAAAACTGTCCAATCCTACTCGCAACACTGCGACGCTCAAGCCTCTGTCTGATGACGTTGTGGCGCTCAAACTCGCAGCGTTGCGGTGTCGAATCCAAAGAACTATGGTGTTCTGCTCTCTGTCATTCAATATTGGGGCGCTCGGGAACACAACTCCGAGGCGTTGTACAAAAAAAATATATCGGAAGAGGTCTGAAGCAATAGAACAATCTGATTGATCAACACAATCAGATTCCACGTATAACAGATATAATGGCATGCACCGTACCGTATATTTTACAAGGTACTCGCTGTAATTACGGTTGCACCAAGCGCCCATATATCCCAACCAACAAAGTATCATTCAAAATTTTCACTACACAGTCAAATTTCTTGCTCAAAGCTTCACCATAAATAGACGCACAGCCAAATAAATCTAGAAAATTTGTAAGGTCAGACATCCCAACTCATGTTTCCTTGCTCAAAATTATCGATACCAAACTCCGAATTGCATTTTTGAACAAAAATACCCATTTCATTGCACGCTATCAAGGATTTTTTCTCATAGTTCTTTAAATATCTTCGTTTTCCTTTCCACTTGTAACACATATATCCCTCAGTGCGAGTAAAGCAGGGGTTTCACTTTCCCTAAGCTCAAAAAACGAGTTCCTTCAACTCACAGAAGACAAACAACAAATAACATGGGAGCAACAAAAACTACTTCCATCAACAAAATCAAAAGCTCAAAATTTGGTACAAAGAAAGAAGAGCATAGCATACCAGACAATGCCATAAGCACCTCTGCCCACCGGCCGTAAGGGTGGAACGTATTTGGTAGAGACCTCGAATAGGTTGCCGTAAATATTGTACTGCACATACCGACCGCCATGAGTAAGAACTCCCTTTATCTGCCCCTCACCGGAAGCAGAACCCGACTCCATTGCCTCCGTTCAACAAACTCCCTCCTTTCTTCCCCTACTTGTCAAAATAAAGCAGGCGGATGGGGATCTACAGCTGTGAAGAACGGGAATAGATAGAAAGGAGGCGACTTGAGCTGAAATCCGTGAAAATGGGAAGGTTAACGTTGTTTTCCCTTTCTTTCGGCCACTTTTAATAAAGCTTTATATTTAGCTTTTCATCTTACCTTCCTCGCATCTCAGTGTTCAACACACGAGAAAGAGATAATAGCAAGCCAAACTTTTTTGAGTTGAAAGCAAATTGAGAAGACGAGTTGAACGACTGCCAGCGAGCGTGGAAAGGTCAAAAGGCATGAGCTTTGCCTCTCTTCCCTTATCTTTCCCTAAAAAATCAAAAACTTCGCCTCTCACACAGATGCAGAAAACATCACTGTGGAAATTAGTACACGATGAGTCGATCAAACATCACGGCGGCACCCACATAGAGAAAGAACCGCAACACAACGTTTTCAGCTTATTTATTTTTTAGACAATATTTTTTTATTTTTTTCTCTGTTAAAACAAAATAAATTTTGATGCTCTTGCTTATTTTATTTTTATAGAAATTTAACAAAAAATTTATATCTAAGAAGATCTATTTCGTTTTTCATAAATTTAATTATTCTATTTAATTATTAATATTGAAAATTAATGCACATAATTAAGTAGTAATAATTCTTAATAACTACAATTAAAACTAATGAAATGATTAGTTGGTTATTAATTCAAGTTTTTTCAACCATTTCTTGTTAATGATAGTTACTTAACAATTACTCTAATAATTAATGAATATAATAATTTATTTCATGTATAATTATTATAAATAAATATTAATATATTAATAATGTAAATTTATTTATTTCATTTTGGTTAGATGAATAAATAATTAGTTCCTATTTTTTCGAAATAATAAATCAATAACTCACTTATACCAACCTAATTAAAAGAAATAATCATTAATAAGACCTTAATAATTATTCTAATTAGTTATTGTCAGCCTATTTAATCTCTAATTAGTCTAATTAATCCAAAAACTCCATATGAAAACATTCTTATAATTTTCAAATTTTATGGAAAAACTTGCTTTGCTTTTAAAAATATATAATTATAATACATTTTAGCTTAATTACTCTTTAGAAATAGCATTTGAATCAAGTTTTAATTCAAATCAATTCAAGTAAATCTTGCTCACGACAAACTTTATAAACAATCCACAATTACAACCAAGATAATTTCGCCCAAAAAAAGTTTTTAGCGTATTTTTCTAAGAAATAAATAACGGATATATTTGAGTAATTTTGGCAATTATGATAGATAAAAAATTGCTTTAAAAAACTGATTTAAAAATTGCTAAAAAAAGTTGTCTCAAATTAAGGAACTTTTATTTGGTCCGGTGACCGGACGTAGAGCTACGTTCGGCCGGTACTGAGATCGCGCCACGTACCATGCACAAAACCACGTATTTGTTGATTTTGCTAGGCAATAACGAGAAATACCATTATGTGAAGACAAATACCGAGCAATACCGAGTAATACCGAGCAATACAGAGCAATACTGAGTTTTTTTAAGAAAAACTCAGTATTACTCGGTATTGGTCTTCACATAGCGGTATTTCTCATTATTGTCAAGCAATACCTTGCAATACCGAGCAAATACCGAGTAACTCAGTGGTGACCGCACGTAGGTCCGGTCACCAGACATAATAATTGTTCCAAATTAAGGCTTCGTTTGAAACTACTTTTTTATTGCTTCTTAAAGCACCTTTGCAATACAAAAATTAAAATTTTCATTCTAAAAAATTGTTTTAAGAAACAGTAAGTCGTCCCAAATGAAACATGAATCTTAATATAAAGCCAACATTAAAAGTATTTTTTTGCGCTGATATCTTTGAATTAACGAGTTTAAATTTGGGCTTCACATGATCACATCCCTTCAGTGATCCTAATCTACGCGTCTCCATTTAAATTTAAAAATAATTAATAAATAAATCAAGTTGGGGTTTGTCGCAATATTGTCCTAACTTTTACTAAATTCGCAAAAACTTTTTCAAAATTGCAAATGTCAACAGCTGATGTAATCAAAACACGTTAACCTGTCGCCAGCATGATGTAGCTGCAAATATTAAATTTGATTACCTACTGAAGTCTGTCAAGTCGTCGTTAAAAAATTATTGGTGGATTCTCACGCTATATTTTGATATTTTCTTATCCACCCACCAACCTATCATAAAAAAATTAATATCAAAGAATTTTTGCATAAATTATATAATGATAAATTTAAAATTATTAACTGTGTTTTGAAATTAATGATTATTTGAGTGGCTGAAAAATATAAAATATAATATAATATAATATTAAAAAAATACAATGTATTTGAAATTATTAAGCATGTATAACACAATGTAAATACATATGAATCTATTTTTTTTATTTGAAACAAAATGAATATAGTATTATTGAAGGCTGAGAGATTCACGACGATAAAGTTATATGATTTTATGTATTTTTAGTATATGAAAATTCAATACACAAATAGAAGATGAAGTGACACCAGGTTTTATACATGAATAACACTAAAAAGGAAAAAAAATCATAGGAACTTGTGCAATTGAAAAGATTCTACTATTATTTGAATAGATTACAAAATTTGACTCACCATTCAATTCGAGGACAACGAGAATACAATGAATTGGAAAATGTACCAACCTTCAGATGGGTACTCTTGATTTAATAGAGAATGTTCCACAAATATTTGACGATGGTGGGAGACCCAATTAAAATCAACAAACCGATGGAAGTCCGGAGACCGTCGGCAATCAGGAAGAGATTCGGTGGCGACCAACGAATGTTCAGAAGTCCAACGACGATTGGTGATCGGGAAGATATCCAGTGGCCAACAGACGAGCAAAAGTCTAACAACAGTTGGTGGTCAGAAAGAGATCTGGCGGCAAGAGAACTCACAAGTTTTCTTCTTTCTTCCTCCCTCATGCGAAGAATTGGGTGTATATTTATAGTTTTTTTTTTAAGTGGTATGCCTAGTAAATATTGAGAAGATCAAGGGCATGTTGGGAATGTTCCATCGACCAGCTCATATTGTTCCCCTTGATCATGGAGAGCGCTTATGAAGCATTTAAATGCCTTAGAGATGTCATAATTGAGTGATTTTGGGCACATTTGATTCGTCTTGCCGAGCATCGATTCGACTACAAGCATGTCCTATTTCAGCTTGTGACATATTTTGGAACTTGGTTGAAAAGATGGAGCTTAGAATGGATAAAAAGTGAATGACAAAGAGAATTTGGAATTCACAAAAAATTTTACTCTGCATTTTGCTTCCATAAAACGAAACACTCAAACCCATATATTTATCCTCACTTTTCATCAAATCAAACAACTCCTTAGTGTAATTCAAACTTTTCATATGTAGTAGGAATTTCAATTAAGATTTCATTTAGAACAACTTTCTTACTGCTTTTTAAAACAGCTTTTAGTATAAAAATTAAAAATTTTATCTAAGCCATCCCAAATGAAGCCTAAATCTACTAACTTCTAAACACCCTATAACATTATTTATATTAGGATATCTTGATAAACTTGTTGAGTTTTCCTGCCCCAATGCCCACTGCTGATGCATCTGTATCAACTTTGAATGACTTGTCACAATATCCAACCTGGCTAAGATATCGACACAGAGTGACAGAGAACTAACTTTTCTTTGATAGAATAAAACAAGTGTTGATGTTCTCTTTTAATTGGAGACCTGTTTATACGAAAGCCTTGAATAAAACAATTACAGAAATTAGCAAGAGCAAGAAAGCCATGAATTTCCATGATTGATATGGAAGATGACTAAGGATTAGTTTGGGACAGCTTTATGAAGTGACACCAGGTTTTATGCATGAAAAACACTGAAAGGAAAAAAATCACAAGGATTTGCAGTTGAAAAGATTCTACTATTATTTGAATAGATTACATAATTTGACTCACCATTCAACTCGAGGATAGTGAGAATACAATGAATTGGAAAATGTACCAACCTTCAGATGGGTACTCTTGATGTAGATTGAATAATGGATAATGTTTTACAAATGTCTGGCAATGGTGGGAGACTCAATTACAATTAACAAACGGACGGATCTCCGAAGACAGTCGGCAATCAGGAAGAGATCTGGTGGTGACTAACGAATGTGCAGAAGTCTAACAACGATTGGTGGCTGGGAAGATATCCAGCGGCCAACGAACGAGCATAAGTCTAACAATAATTAGTGCTCGAAAAGAGATCCAACAACAAGAGAGCTCCCAAATTTTCTTCTTTCTTCATCCTCCCTCATGTGAAGAATGAGAGTTCTATTTATTATTTTTTTGAAATGGTATGCCTAGTAAATATTGAGAAGATCAAGGGCATGTTTGGAGTATTCCATCGAGCGGCTCATATTGATCCCCTTGATCATGGAGACTGGAGAGCATTTATCAAGCATTTAAATGTCTTAGAGATTTCATAATTGAGAGATTTTGTGCTTGTTTGATTCGTCTAATCAAGCACTCGATTCGATTATAAGCATGTCATATTTGGATATCATTTGGTTATTCAATTTATGCTTCGAAGCTTTCAAATAAGTTTTGTTCTTTTGATTTGGGCCCAATTGGGCTCAGATTGGATCGAATTTGGCATTGTTGGGTTCGTCTCCTTGAAATGTTTAATTTGATTATAAGCTTGCTAAAATCAGAGCTTGTACGAACCTGATTTTAATTTTTGAAGCTTCTGACTCTTATTTGCATCAAGATTTGTGCCCGACCAAGACTATTTTTTGTGACATTTCTATCAAGTATAAAACTCAATTGTTGTTGGCTATAGAGTGATGGCAATAGCCAGTAGCAAGGCAGGAATTGCTGGTCAATGAAGACAATGATTTTAGCTTGTGACATATTTTGGAATTAGGTTGAAAAAGATCTGAGTTTAGAATGAATAAAAAATGAATTACACAGCGAATTTTAAATTCACAAAAAAAAAAAAAATTACTCTACATTCTATTTTCATCAAACGAAACACTCAAATATGTAAAACTCTTGTATTTACCCTCACTTTTCATCAAATCAAACAACTCAGTGTAATGCAAATTTTTCATATATAGTAGGAGTTTCAACTAAGGTTTAATTTGGGACAGCTTTCTTACTGCTTCTTAAACAGCTTTTAGTAAAAAAAATTAAAAAGCAACTTTTTAATTAAAAAATTATTTTTTTTCTACTAAAAAGCTGCTTTAAGAAACAGTAAGAAAGCCGACCCAACGAAGCCTAAGATCGAATCGCTTGTGCTTTCTAAAGATCAGTTTGAAGCTTGAATCGAAAAGGAAATCCTACAAGTTGTTGTAAGGTTTTTTTTTTTTTCAACCGTTGCATTAGAATCTATGCCACAAACTCAGGTTTCTCGGGCATCACATTCAAGAAGATAATCATGGTAGTATCG